CTTTATTGTACAGTACAAACTTGATGTCAGCTAAAAAATGTGTTGCTGTAATATAGCTTGGCACTCTCCATGTGGTTGGGCAATATATCCCCAATGAAGGACTAATAATAATCCTTGTATTTGAAAAAGCACTTTATCATGTCGTTGAGACGTCTGAAAGCACTTCACATAATATATATATATATCTACACTAATAAAACAATATCTGTCTGTGCTTCAAGAGGATCTCAAAAACTGATTTGACGTAGAAATATGATTTATACCTCATCAGAAAGGTCTTGCTTATGGGAATGACATGGGCCTATTTGTTTTCAGGTATCTCCTATTGTTCATGAGTTATTTTCAGTTTTGCGTTTTTTGCTGTAGTTACACCTGGTGGCTGCTGAGTCAAAGTGGTGCTGTGGTATCCTGCGTCACAGAGAGCGCACATAGCCAAGTGGTGTCGGGAACAAAATAAAGAACACAGTCGAAGCTCAGATGTAACAACAAAATTACATTTTTAAAGCACTGAGTCCTCTCAAAAGGAATCCTCCCAAAGGAGAACTCCCAGATGAGTATAGATAAAGATGAAATGTCTGTCTGTGTGTCATCTACAACAACAACAAGATTCCATTTATAGAGCGCCTTTCACGTCGGGAGGACGTCCTAAAACGCTGGACAGTTGGGTCGTGACCCGAGCAAGGGGGAAATGGTCAGGGTGAGGGGACGGAAGGGAGGGAGCGAGGAGGGGGGTAGAGAGTCGAGAGGGGAGCTGAAGGCACGGTTGAAGAGAAAGGTCTTGAGACCGGCCTTGAAGGAGGAAAGGGAGGAGGCGGCGAAGGCACTGGGGGATAGAATTCCAGAGCCTCGGGGCTGAGAGGCTGAAGGCCCGGCCACCGATGGTAGGGCGGTTGGGGCGAGGGATGTGGAGCAGACCGGAGCCAGAGGAACGCAGGGTACGGGCAGGTAAGTAGGGGGATAGTAGGTCGGAGAGGTAGGAGGGAGCGAGGCCGTGAATGGCTTTGTAAGTGAAGATGAGGATCTTGAATTCGATCCTCTGGGGGATGGGGAGCCAGTGGAGGCGAGCGAGGGCGAGGGTGGGAGTGATGTGGTCCCGAAGCCTGGTGCGGGACAGTACACGAGCTGCAGAGTTCTGAATGACCTGCAGTGTGGAGGGAGGGCCGGGAAGGCCGGCGAGGAGAGAGTTCCCATAGTCCAGCCTTGAGGTGATAAAGGCGTGGACCAGAGTTTCAGCCGCGTGAGGGGTGAGGTAGTGCCGTAGTCTGGCGATATTCCGGAGGTGATGGAAGGTGGTGTCAGTTGTGGCACGGATGTGGGAAGAAAGGACAGCTCAGGGTCGAACAGAACACCGAGGTTCCTGACTGGCTTTGAGAGGTGGAGAGTGCAGCCTTGGATGCTGATGCTGTCAGCGCCAGAGGTGCGGAGGCGCTGACGTGAGCCAATCAGGAGGGCCTCAGTTTTGCACACGTTGAGCTGAAGAAAGTTGTCTCTCGTCCAGGACTCGATGTCGGACAGGCAGCTGTCAGGACATCGGTGGTCGTGGAGTTGAGGGTAGAGGAGGAAAGGTAGAGTTGGGTATCATCTGCATACATGTGGAAGTTAACCCCATGTCTGCGGATGATGTCACCACAGGGGGAGCATATAGAGGGTGATGAGGAGGGGACCGAGGTCAGAGCCCTGAGGGACACCGCACAAGACAGTGCGGGGGCCGGAGGAAAAGCCGTTTGTGGAAACAAAATGAAGACGGTGAGTGAGGTACGACCTAAACCACTCAAGGACAGGGCCTTGAAGGTTGAGGTGGGAGGACAAGAGGTGGAGGAGGATAGAGTGGTCGACCGTATCAAATGCAGCCGATAGGTTGAGGAGGACGAGGAGCCAGAGGGAGCCCTGGTTGCAGATGGTCAAGATGTCATTAATGACCTTGACCAGGACGGTTTCTGTGCTATGGGCAGCACGGAAACCCAACTGGAGGGGTTCAAATAATGAATGGGTGGAGAGGAAAGAGCGCAGCTGGGAGGCGACGACTCTTTCAAGGACCTTGGACAAGAGGCGGAGGTTGGAGATGGGCCAATCTCCATTCCATATTGGATTAATTGGTTGCAAACGAAACTGCAACAGGTCCATAAGAAGGAAAAGGGACTGTCCGATGAATAGACAGGTCATTGTAAGCGAGCTAGCAAGGCAGCAAAGGGGGAAGATTACAAGGAATTTATTTTTGCAGATTGGTTGGGGATGGAATGCCTTTCTAGGTGCGGTGGTTGAGGCAAGATCCAGATTAGGTTTAAAGACGGAACTACTATGAATAGATTTCTAAAACGAAGTCATTTACAAGGTTATGGGGAAAAAGCAGGGAAATGGGGCTGAATGAATTGATCTTTCAAACAGCCAGTTCAGACACAATAACCTTCTCTGTGCTGTAAATTTCTATGGTTGTAAGATCCGTTAATGTCATTCTATTTTGAGATGAAACTGTTTCCCCAACATAGCATGGCTGAGATCAGGAAGCTCACTGTGTAGAGAACTAAGGGCATACAGAATGGTGCCCTTCTATCTTATACTAATAAAACGACAATGTCTGTCTGTGTTTCAGTGTATCAGAGACAGACTGAGAGAGAGAGAGAGCGCAAAATTGAAACAGAGAGACTGAGAGACAGACACACAGAAAATATATTAAAAGAATCCTCCTGCTGAGTCCTCCCAAAAAGAGTCCCATCACAGGAGTCCTCCCAGCTGAGTATAATGTCTTAAATAAAATGTCTGTGTGTCTATCTATATTCCATATTGAATGTTTCGGTTGCAAGCAAAGCTGCATCAGGTACAGCTAGTATTTATACATGTTAATTGGAGTGACTGTATTTTGTGGGCAAAACGCAGCAGCCAATTGCACACAGCAGCGTCCCCACAAGTGTCGTGGATTGAGTGACTGATTATTTTTAAGGTATTATTATCCCCGGAAAGCGATCCACCAGTACGTAATTATTAATTGATAGAGAAGTTTGAATGCGTAGACATCAGAAAGAAAGAGGCTGAGATAAGGCACCTGTTCCACTTCAGTGTAAACAAGAACAAGAAAAAAAAACCTCGAATTATTTTTTGAAAATAAATGAATGCAATGGAATGTGTGATGCTGTTTCTCCCTGCCATTCACTTGTTTGGCTTTATTGACTTTTCTCTTTTGAACAAAAGAGCTGTTGTCTTAGCTCACCAGATCCTCCTGGAGAGGAATGTTGGCTCGATGACGGTAAAGAGTGCCAGAAACGCTAGTAAAACTTTTGGCATAGTTTATAATCCTCAAGGATAGGCCTCAACTGTTTCCTAAAATGTGTTCTTCTTTGTAAAATGGAGACTTAATTTCCTGCTCAGCAGTTCAGTTGCAAACTCTGAAATCCTCAGGTTTCAGCAATGCCTCGAGCTGCTGATCCAACATTCGTGTCTGTATCATCCATAGACAATTGCGGTGATCTTGCATTCAGCACCAATGTGCCCAACACAGTTTAGACGGTAATTCTGGAAGACAACAGTTATGAAGGCATCAATGCGAATGACCTCAACATGAACAAATTTCACCTGGGATGATGCGTTCACAGAGCCTGTTAGGCCGATAATGCAGACTGCAGTTCTGGATGAACTTGATCTTGTGAAGAGTTGAGTTGGAAAGGCTGGCACGCGCATTGGAGAAATCAAGTCTGGAAGTAACAGTGGCATGTTTCAGAGTTTCATTTGCAATGGTGGTGAAGTAGGGCCAGAGATAGTGTTACGTAAAGGGAAGCAGAATTGATCAAGCATTGGATGAAAGTGTTAAAGGAGAGCTGAGGGTGGAGCAGAACGCCAAGATTGTGCACTGGTTTCACAAGCTGACGCAAGGAGCCACGGAGGTTGATGGAGTCAGAACCAGAGGTGAGAAAGCATTGGAAAGCAATCCACACGTGATTGCTTCAGTCTTGCAGTTGGAGAAAGTTAAATCTGATCTGGGACTTGATATCTGACAGTTTGTTACCAGCGCAGCATTAATCATGGGAATCGAGGGTGGAAGTTGATGGAGAAGTTGGGTCTCATCTGTATACATGTGAAAGTGGACCCCATTCCTGTGGATAATGTTACCATGGAAGAGCATATGGGCAAGAAAAATAATATTTGCATTTGATAATAATCTTATCACATCTTCAATAAGTCAAAGCACTTCACAGAATACAACAACAAGATTACATTTGTATAGCGCCTTTCACATCGGGAGGATGTCCCAAGGCGCTGGAACACAATACACAGTAAAGCGAACAGACTAAATATTTTGTGGGTGAAACGCGACAGCCAATTGCGCACAGCAGTGTCCCACAAACTGTTATTTTTTTTGAGGGCTTACCCCAGAAAAGCAATCCGGCAATAGGCTAACAATCTGTAAACAGTAGATAAACAAAGGCGTGTGGAGTAAGGAAACTTGAATGTTTTGGCCCTGCCCGAGAATCGAACCCAGGTCCTCTTTCTTGTGAGGCGAGCGCTCTAACCAATATGCTACAGGACTCCACATGTCTAACAATAGAGCCCAGAGGAACACTGCAGATGACCATGTTGGGGAGGGTGAGTAGAAGGAGAAGTAGTGAGGGGAGATGGTGAATCATAGATTAGTGTCTGTTTACGAGAATTACATCGAAAATGTCCCCTGATGTGAAAGGCACTGTATAGCTGTATTGCACGACGTGATATAGAGGGTTATTTACAAAGGGATTGCAATAATCACCAAGGTTTGAGTAGAACTGGACTTAGGAGACAAAAGACAGTATTCGAAACAATTGTCCCTGAACAGATGGTTACTGAATAGCAGTAATGAATGTTCAGGATTATTCTTTAGGTAGAAATAGTACAACGCACTTTCTTCAGATTGAATGGATTATGTCGAGTGTATAATATGGAAGATATGAAATGTGATGCACTTGATGGGCCAATTGGCCTTTTCTCATGTCACTGCTTGAGGATAAATTAATTCTCATTCACTGCATCAATCTGGTCCAATTTTAAACTTTATTTTTTCCAAAGAAATCAGATTATCTACAATTTGTATTTCTGCTTTGATAGAATCAAAATATTTTAAAGGATATACTACACTCGGGGGTAAGGGAACCCAAGATTCAACAGAAATTTGCTCTTTCGATCCATCACAATTGTGAAATCATCTCAAGACTAGTTAACTTTGAACTAGTGCAGCATCTTTCTGGGCCACGTTTATATCGACTACAACCACTAAAACTTCGTTAGAACAAAGAAAAAATACCTTAAAACTTACTGAAGAGTTACAAGGAAAGTTTGTTCGGTCTGAAATGTCCCATGGTCTCATGAATCGGCATCTTAATTTGGGGTTTATACAGATTTTTGGAAAATTCTTAATTTGAAAATAGTTTATTTTCTTACAATTCTCAAACTAACAAAAAAAAACTGATTCCCTACTCCCACTCGCCTCAAATTCTGCACTTCTTCTCTATACACCCTGTTCGGGCAATGGTTGAAAGGTTGAGACCTTGTAAAATTTCAGACCTGAAGCCTTCCTTTTCTTAACTTGTTAAACACTAAATTGAACAAATGCAATAATTTTTTTTTAAAAAAGTTAAATTATCCAGAATTTACCTTTAAACTTTAAATACAAAAAAGTGGAAAAAAATTGTTTTGCTATAGTTAACTGAATTTAAACAAAAAAGCAAAAAAAATAATAACAGGCAAGTTAATATCATGTCAATGGCACTACAAGTATAAGCTTGATCTTTAGATCATTTCTTTGCTGTTGCGAATAGCACAGCATAACACCATGCTGAAAATCATTCCGAAAATCTGGAGGAAGAAAAATAAATTGATTACTATTCTGGTCATAAAACTTGCAAAAGGAATTAAAAATGAATCAATTGAACTGAATTTCATTATTGAGGCTGCTTACCATGACTAATCCAATGCCAATTCCAACTGCTCCAACGATATAAAGTTTGCTGCCGAAAACTTCGTCAATAGCCACGAGGCAAGACTGCATACAAGATCAGATTAGAATTAATTCATTTTAGATACTATTGATCGACGCATTTTGTGTACAATTCATATTTGTCCCCTCTCCTCTAAAGTTGTATGCATCTAACTACATTGCCATCAGAATAGTAAATATAGGAACACGCCTCCAGAGATGCCATTGAATTTTAATACGATGTTTACCATCAACATGAGGAATGGAAAATGGAAAAGTACAACAGGTGGAAGTCAATATCTACACTTTGAGCACCTGCAAAAATGTGTTTCTTTGCAGCCTTCAACACTGAGATTTACCATCAATTGAGTTTAGATGAATTGCTTTAACAGATAACGTAAGGGAGAGATAAATTACTGTACAAATTTACATTTATGCAATACCCATCATATCAGGAGCACATCCCAAGGTGCCTTGGAGTCTGAGCTGGAGGAAAAAGATGACCGATAGTGCGGTCAAAACATGAAAGTCTTGAGCCAGACCTTGAAAGAGGTGAGGGAGGAAATAATCTGGGGGGGACTCCCCAAAGAATGGGACAGATAGGCTGAAGATAGGAAAGGGTATATGAAACATGCAATGCCCATAATGGATATAAGAGGAGCTATGGATTAGACAAAAGTTTGGAATTTGAAGTTTATTTCACCTGAGAGAACTCAATCATTAGTTACAGATCTACTTTGGGCAACTATGGCTATCGCAATCTTCTGATTTTAATATGGTAAAATATGTAACATGACACCCTATTTAACTTTAATTTCCAATGCCTACTACTGGACACCCATAGGTAGGGGTAACCTTGTTGTAGCAGGCTCAAAGCCCATGTTAAAATGAGCTGTGGAAAATTGGTTGACTTTTGGGTTATCGGGCTACTGCTGATATCATTTCCTGCATTCATTTGATCCAGCAACGCATACGGGAATGACAATAGGAGAAAATAGTGATTGGGATGAGGAGGGAGAGGTTTGTTTGTGTGGAGCAGGGAGGATATCATACTGTATAAACCAGCCTCCGCCCCACCCCCATCCCAGCGTTAATAGGGTAGAAAATAAAACCAGTGAGTCCAAATAAAAGTCTGTAATACCTTTCTTTGTAAAGCTTCAATCACGCCACTTAAACCACTCGAATCCGTTGCAGGGCAGGTTTCTCGAACTAATAATTCAATAGCGCCACCAAGTCCACAACATTTCATCTGGAACACAATAAATTTACTCAATGTTCTAAATACAGAAACTTTATTTATTGGGGGGGGGGGGGGGAGGGAAAGAAATCGGTATACCATATATAAAAATCTATTATTTAATGTAAAATACATTTTACATTGATTTGGCATCTTTCACACAAGGAGAATGTCTCAAAACACCTACGGAGCTCGGGTATCTGAGTATACGGGATCAAAGCAAGGTCAAACAGGCAGGTCTAGAGGTGGGCTTTAAAAGTGTAGAAGGAGGTAACGAATCAAAGGAAGAACAGGAGTTTATCATACACTATTTTAATTCAAAGTTAATGAACACTTGAAAGAATGCCATCAATAACAATCAAAAACATTTGCAGATTTTGCAATAAGAGGTTCAGGGTAACATTAGAGATTGAAGGGTAAAAGGATAGTAATAGCTCACCCCACTGTTCATTGCTACCAAGGCAGCCTTTAAAGCATCCGTCTGATCCTTGAGATACTCAGTGTACGTTGCAGTGTAGAAGTCCTTCAGCTCTTCAGTAATCTGCAAAGTTCAGCATAAAATTACTTACACCATGTGCCATTGAGCATTTACACTTCAAGTAACGAATTACAGAAGCTTCACTAACAAAACACTCTTTAATAAACGATGCAATCAAATCTCATAGTAACTATGTAAATCAAATCCTAACTCATATTGCCACTACAGCACTTTGCCCTCGTAGTTAAATGTTGTGGTCCCGACTGATATAACATACGTGCGTTTATCTGTGTTAAGGCTAACACTCCAGTACTGCATTCTGAAGATGGTAAATACATTTAAAATCTAATTTTCTTAAGATATTGATTTAAGGCTTGAATTTACAGTTCCATTCTTTCCTCACATTTAACTTCAGTGCCAGCAAGCGGAGGTTAGAATGAATGCCAAGATGGGAGCGTTTTTGCTAGGGAAGAATTGGAAAGAAAAGGAAAGAAATAGAAATGTCAGCTTGTATTCCTACCTTAGATTTGTTCATGAAGCCCCATATTCCAGCTGCAATTTCAACTGCAAATATAACTAGGAGACACAGAAAGAACTGAAACAGAAGAAATAAGATCATTACACAATTACGTATTAAAAAAAAACTCAATGCTTAAAAAACAAGACAAATTAGCTATGTTTGTGTCACACTAGTGTGCTAAACACGAGAAAGTCTAGTTTAAAGAAAAGTTAAGGTATGTTCCAACGAAGTGATAGAGGCCAATAAAAAGGAAATTAAGATTTTCCTAGAGTCACCATAAAGAATGCTTGCAGCCCACTAATATCAAACACTGTTAGGGCATTAATGTTGCATGCTTGTCAGTCAAATGTTTTGATGGCAATTGGTTTTAAAACATGTACATTAAATGGGGAGGTAAGCAGGGTCCCCTTGGAGCTGAGCTGACTTCAAGGCGGCGTGTTTAATGGAATCAAGTCAACCCTCTGGGGTGGTCTCACTAGTCTGGTTCCTGAGCTAGATGGGCTTGCAATACTCCAGGGATTAGCGGTCCTCTGTGGTAGTTAAGCGTCTGAGCTAGGCAGGTCTGCTGTAGTCCAAGGTAATGTTGATGGAAGACCAGCCAGCCTGCAGGGTCATCCAAGACCTGGAGGGGCATGCAGTGAATGTGGAAGCACTGACCGTCAACTGCGCCCATTATAGTAGGGGTTGAAATTTTATGGACTCCAACTATTGCATTTATATACACACACACACACACACACAAAGAGGCTCCACGGTACTTACACAGCCCAGCATGCACTGAGATTCCTGAATCGCTCCACAACATCCGAGGAAGCCAACCACCATCATCACCGCACCAGCACCAATCAGGATGTAAACTCCTGCAAAGAAATACATCAATTGCTGAATGACAGCGCAATCCTTACAATTCAACAGGTGACAGTAATTAACTTAGCTGTAATCTAAACTGTACAGGATTCAAGCAACCCCATCTACATTATTTCTTTGGTGCTGCACATTACATCTCGGATAGCTCCAGCGACCAGAAGCATCTTCTTGCAGAGCTGGTTCAGTCATGATGTAGCCCCAGTGCCTGTGATTCACAGTGTAACTCAGTTTTCTGTACGGCAACTTAAAGTAGGGATATATTTGTACACTTGGAGTGTAATGCAAGAACTCCCAAAGGTGAAGGAAACACACAATAGTTTTATAGATGGCACTAAAGACATATTGTGCAAACTCAAATAAATTAAGAGTATTTTTAAGAGTAAATAAAATTGAACCGGTGAATTGTACTATTACAGGATTTTGTTCAACACTAACTTTAGGAAAAATTGTTTATAAAGCTACTACCATAGCCCAAAATATTCAACACTATCTAGAATATAAAACGTGCATTGTTCTTAACTAATGTCACACATTGCGTAGTTCGTGGCACAGGATGAGATCATAAAGTTTTAATGTAAGTTTCAGTTGTTCCACGCAATTGGAATTATAAGCTTTTAATCCTACCTGTGTAGAAAGTGGAAGGTGTCGATTCAATTTCAAACATGCCCTTTGTCTGTGGATCCAAACGAAGCCATAGTCCGATGGCTAGAACTGCAGATCCTGCAAGCTAGAGACCAAAAGTAAATGTATTAGCACTCTTCCCATTTACAACTGTGATGACTTTTACAGTGAAAGTTACAAAGTGGGTCAACTTACAGTACAATTAAGGTGTAGACTCTAATACTTTGCAAAAATGCACGCAACAACAACAAATTATATTTGCGTAGCACCTTTCACGTCAGGAAGATGTCCAAAGGTGCTGGACAGTCAGAGATCAGCACTCCCTGACCACCCTGGTGGTTGGGATCAGGAGGGGTGAAGAGCGGGGAGAGTAGGGGCTGGAAAGGTGCCCGGTTGAAGAGGACTGTCTTGAGATGGACCTTGAAGGAGGCACACCCCAGCTCCATCATGAGTGCTTTAAAAAGCTGGCCGTCACACAGAATATCACAGAAGACCGATCACCAGCTAGTTCATCATTTGCTCTGTGTAGCACACTTGCAGCAAGCTTGAAGTGAAATAGATGTCAAGTCAGTTTTGGTTTCTGTGTGCTAAAAATATCCACCTTCAGAGTCATTAAGGTCACTTCCTCATAGGAAGGAACATCGGTTGGTATCTGATGAGCCGGAAGCTGGTCAATTTTGCCTTTGATATAATATGCACCTTTCCACATCATTGAGACATCTCAAAGAACTTCACAAGATTTTACCGTGAAGCGAAGTGACTGCAGTTGTAAATAGAACACAGCAGCCAATGTGTGCTCAGCAATATTCCAAAACAGCCATGAAGTGAGTGATCAACAACAACAACTTGTATTCATATGCGCCCCTCACGCAGGGTAGTGTCCCAGATCGCTTGAGTGACCAAGTTTTATTTAGGAGACTGTTGGCCAGGACACCAGTATAAGTTCCCCTCTCTTTTCAAGTAGTGGCGTGAGATCTTTAGCATCCACTTCAACGGGCAGATTTGCTACAATTCTTAGACCTTACGATGCAGTGATGTTCCCTAAAACATGCAATTATTTTTAAGAATTACAAAATGATACAACTTTTTTTTAAAATGAAACACTATGGTGGCCTTCTGAAGAATTTCCATTGCACTTTGTTGATTCACCAACAACGCAACAACTTGCATTTATAAAGCACCCTTCAAGCGGGCAGCGTCTCAGAGCACTTAATATATAAGCGGAGTGCTCATCAATAGTTATACATACACTATTCTTTGGATTTACATTTAGCCATCACATTCAATGCACCACTAAACAAACCATCTCCCAGAAGACCAAGATAAATTTCTACTTTCCACTCAATAATTAATCCAAGATGTAATTTGCATACATAAAGGCTGAGTGGACCAATTGAGGGCAGGAATTGATACCAAGAAAGTGAAAATGCATCTTAAAAAGTCACCTTAAAAAAAAAGGCTTGCACTTGTTTGGCAAACTACAACGAATGTTCACTCAGCCCTAGTTTTATTTTCAGCTCACAAAAAGTTTACAGTTATTGGAGAAAGTAAAATATACACCACAGTGCAGATGTCCTGACGACATTTCTTGAAATAAATGCACAGATCAATCAAAAACTAGTCCAACTGTAGAAGTAAAATGAAAAATACCTGCATGGAAGATTCTCTACAACAGTATTCTCTAGTTTTTCTTTAGAGAAATGTCCACTTTAAAGTAAACATAAGAGCATCAATCCCTGATTTTTTTTTATTAACCAACAGGTTTTACCATCTGCCCTTAGTACGGAAGCAGTTTCTGTCCTAATCCCGTTTGATGTTTCTAGCCTGGACTGTGCTGACCAATTCAATGTTTGGTTGCAATCATATACAGCTGTATCACAAGGCAGAAGATAATGTGGATTTAGTAGCTCTGTAAATGATTGAAGCAAATGGACCCGAAGGCCAAGCCCTGTTAGAACAAGGAGTCACGAGGAAGGAGGCTGGTTAGTGGAAACACTATTCCTCTCCTAAAATGTCCAAAATATTCTAACTAAATTCTGAAATAGCTGTTCATTGAAAAATAATGGTAGCCATTAGTGGGTAAGATATGTAGGGATAATCAGCAAAGTGGAGTGGTCAACTAATCACTGATTAAACGAAAATTTGCATTTTAGATACTGCTAGAAATGCCATGAAATATAACTACTTTAGTCTATACAAAACATTGCATCAGTGCACACACTTATTTTGTAGTCAGGATTCTGATATTTTGTTCCCAACAGGTGGGAAACAGTTGAAGAGTCACATATTGCATTTATTAAGAGTAAAAAAAGAAGCATTGTACTCAAATACTCCTAAATCTTTCCAACAATATGATGTTTATGAAATTAAGACTTAATATTGTACAAACTATTTATCCAATAACTATGAATGTCTTCAAGAAAATTAAGACTATGGACAAACATGCAAGCCACATTAACATTCAATATGAGAACTTCAGTCAATATTCTCACTCATCAGCAGGATCAAGAATTAAAATGAAGTTTTAGTAGGTCGCAGAGGATGAGGAATTTGAACTCGATTCTCTGGGAGATGGGGAGCCAGTGAAGCTGGGCAATCGGAAGACATATTACCAGTTACATCACTGTCAATTTCTATTTATAAAATTGGCAAAGGTCAAGGGAAATAACGTTTTTGAAAAGAAGCTCACTGGATAAATAGTATTGCATTAAAATGGCAATTGGATTAACGTCTCATTGGCGCAAACTTTTGTTTTGATTCTCTGTTGCACCAGATCAAAGAAAGTTTTAGAAGGCTAAAGTCACAAACATATTCTCAGTCTGCACCTAAGGTTTCCTGTTCCCTCTCATTCCCACAACCTTTCTGCCACTATTAATACTAATGACTACACTAACTTTCTCCACTATCTCTCTCCCTGGCAGTTCACCATGGCTTTTCTAGTTTCACTCCTACTCTGTATGAGCTTCTTCACTTTATCCAATTATTTCTCCTCCTGCCTCTACGCAGACATGTGTAGATTCCCCATGGCTCTATCCTTGGTTCTCTTCCTTTGCTCCCTGGTAAGATCATTCAGTGCCTTGGGACGTTCTCCCAACGTGAAAGGCGCTATACAAACGTAATGTGGCATCATCTGCAGGTACAGAGATCATTTCCATACGTATGGAACTGACACTCAACCCTACCTTTCTGCCTGCACCCGAGGTTCACTACTTTTCTGACAGATATCAAGTTGTGGATGAGCCTCACCTTATGCAACAACTGACAAAACAGACTATTCTTATCAGTTCCTGCTAATGCCTTTCCTCCTTTAGGTACCAACCGTGTCTACCTCCCAACTTGCTCACTCCCAACTCTGTTTGGAACCTCAATTTTGTTCAAACCTCAACTCTCCTTTAAACCTTTCAACCAGACTCTGACAAATCTCGTTTCATGTATCTCTGCAACATCACACCGGTCCACCATTACCTCTTCCCCAACCAAGCCAAAACCCTCACCCAGCTTCATAGGTTCCATATCCCCCCAACTGATTGAATAAATTCCTCACCTTTAATGCCTTTGTCATACTGTACTCAAGTTTCAGAATATTCACGTCCAAATACACAAAGCTTTTTTTTAAAAAAAGTGTGAAACACAAGATATCCTGTTGCTGCATTTTTACCCAACAAACGCTGTCAAGGTCTATATTAATTTCCGATTTCAAAACAGATCTAAATCTTTAATGTCGGTTGGCCTGCGATAAGAATCTCTGAAAGTTAAGGGACCATTTTAACTAGTGTTCTTTGTCCCAGAAATTTCACAGAAGTAAATGCAGGTACAAAAATCTAAGGGGCCACCAGTTTCCACTGGAAAAATGTGACTCACTCCTCAACTAAGCTTCTCTAACCAACACCCATAGAACAATACAGAGAGAATGGGCGATGTGAAGTGGGAAAAAATGTATAAAGCCACTATGTTTTAGATATTACTAAAGGATAAGAAGATATTGCTGGATTTCTAAGATTAATGTTTACAATTCACCTAGATGGGATCATTCTTAAAGATGGGAACTTGGAAGCCTGCTGTGTATTTGATGTGTGACAAAAAGGCAATGTACTTGCCACAAAAATGTTTGTTAGATGTAGATGTACTTCAAATCTACTGTGGATGAAATACTCCAAAGCAAGACATTTACTCAATGAGCAGCTGAGCATTTTTTGCAATCTCAATTCAGTGTTTTATAGCCAATGATTCATATTTTATCAATGGTCTGTACGCATTGACTTAGAATTATTGGCAGGAGAAAATATAATTCATTAACAATCTGTCCAAAACATTTTCTCTTTCAATTTCTTAAAGTGGTCCTGTGGGCCAGATATCAAACTATAATTTCCAGGCTTAATCATCAGTCAATCTGTAGCTAATTTAACATTGAGGGAAACGAGAGAGAAATAAAACAATCTTATTATGTTCCTACTTGAACTAGAAAAGAATTTCAGATGACGACACATTCGTGTTGGAAAATGATTACAGTACAGGATGATTTGGCCTTTGTGAATTGCAGACGCAATACCAAAATACATTTGTATAGCGCCATTCACATCGGGAGGACATCCCAAGCCTCTGATTCCCCCACTGCCACCATCTACTCAAATGTAATTTTCACTGTTCTTTTTCTAGATCATGGATTCAGCCACAACAGTCTTTTATGGTAAGATATTTGATATTCTAACTCTGCTTGTAAAAACGATTTCTAGCCTCTCCCTGATTTCTTCTGGTGATCATACAAAAATACAAGGATTAGTGGTCGATTTACGCTCTGGTTCTGGTAGAAAAGTTGGTATTGGTCTTTTTAAAAACAACATTTTTAAAATCGTTATTAGACCCCTCTTCAATTTGTCAGCTCCAGCAAAAAATGGTATCAACTTTAATACAACAAATGTATAACACAGTTATATAGCACCTCTCAAGTCAGAAGGATATCTCAAAGCACTTCAACGCACCTGAGCTTGGGAGGAGGGCGGAAGGGGGTGGGGCAGTAAGGACAACTAAATGCTTCAGTTGAAGTGAGAAGTCTTAGATTGTTGCTGCAAATCATAGTGAATACCAGGGTGGTCCAACTGACAACTCCACCCAGCCCCCTCCCCATTCCATCTGGCCCACTTGCTCCCCCTGTAACCCGTAAATGTTATGTTTCTGGAAGCGAAACAAAACATGTTGCTTATGCGGCCCACAGACATTTTCCAAATAGGGAAAAAAAGGCCCTCAGCACCTCCCTGCTCTATGCTGACATACCAAGGGAGGGAGGACCTCATTGTTTGAGCGTGACTAGCTCGGCAAGGTTATTGGGTGTCGAACTGAACAGTGTCAATGGGCTGGTCGGGAAAGCCCATCCTCAATCCAGTTAAAATATCCTTCCAAAATCTCCACTGGTTCACTCTGAGCAACCCGGCAATGGCATCTGGAGTGACATACGCCAATCACTGTCAGGGCTCTCACAAGACTTGCTACTCAGTGAAGAAGTCCATCTCATGAACCGCATTCCAGTTGGAGTAACTGACTTCAGGAGGAGAGGGGAAAAGGTCATTACGTTTGAAGTTAACAGTATAGACAATTGCAATCAGACAACTTTAAACTGGGCTTTATTATATTATTATATGGGGAACCATGAGTTCCACTATTGGGTCTGTGACATTTATTTCATTTGCAATGCAGGGCATATTTCCCAGAATTAGCAACATTGAAGTGATGGCATGCAGTCTGTATGAACGCTAGGTTTTGTTTTTTGGCCATGGATCTTCACTGACATCTGGAGAGGATCTGTGTATGTCAGCTGACAAATCCCTTGCAAAACAGCAACTTCCACGAGATGATGAGCTTCGAGCTCACACCCCAGACTTGTTTGACAAGCTTATTAAGGAATTGCATCGTGTCAATGGCATGCAATTGCAATTTACAGTAGTTTGCTGGAGTCCAGTAGAGTAGTAGTTAGTGCGCTCACTTCACAAGCGAGAGGACCCAGATTCAATTCCCGGGCAGGGTGAAACCTTAGGCAAGTTTCCTTTCTCCATGTCAACCCTGTCCAAATATCTACACCAATGGCCTTCTTGGTAAAGGCACCAACCATAAGGTGTAGCACTCAAATCCTGCAGACTAGAAGGTTAAAGATTTGAGCCCCACTCACGGTTGAGTTACCTAATCACAGCCAAGTTGCCGTTCAAGATGTACAATTAGCGCTCTGGGACGCTACCCCGCATGAAGGGCACTATATAAATGCAAGTTGTTGTTGTACAATTAACCCGGGCAACCTTTAAACCAGGAAGGGAGAAAATACAGTGAGAATTCCTGCTACTGATCGCAGCCCCTACGGAAGGTACAGTACACATGCACAGACAGGATCAGAGTTAGCTATATCTCTCAACTCCCCCATCCTCTGGCGTCAAATAGACTGCAGTCTACTCTACACTCACACGTTATGAATGGCCAATTTGGCAAGGTGGCGGAGGGTGCCCAACCCTCACACGGTATGACGATAGCCCAACAAGAAAAGACTGCACACATGCAGGCTAATAAAATAAAATAGCTAAACTGATTAAAATTATATTCGTGGGGGGGGGGGGGAGCTAAGCTCAGCCATTTCCTTGCTCACACTTTCCCCACAATTCAGACTTTGCATTTGGCTTTATTTCACTTACAAGGTTCTGCAGTTCAAGATCCCGGTCCTCACCTTCAAAGCCCTCCGTGGCTTTGCCCACCCTACCTCTGCGACCTCCTAACCTCCTAACCCCCTACCAGTCTACCCGCTCCCTCCGCTCAGCCGGCTGCAGCCCGCCTCACGTCCCCCGCCTCGCCCGCCCCGCCATGGGCTGGCGCACCTTCTGCCACTCTGCCCCCGCCCTGTGGAGCTCCAGCCCCGCAGTCCCTCCGCCTCGTCGTGAAAGGCGCTATACAAGTGTAATTTTGTGGCGGTTGTTGTTGTGGCTGTTGGGAGTCACATACCCGACCCCAGCCAAAACTTTCTTAGCTGCACTCGCGCGCACACACACACACACGCACACACATCCATCAAATCATAGAAACGGCAGTAAAAACCCCCCAAAAAGCTGCGGCCAATACAAATAAAATCTGATAAAAACCAGTAGATCAACAAGCAGTGAAAAGAAAGCAGAAATTTCTCTCTCTCTGTCTGTCTGTCTCTCTCTCTCTCTGTCTGTCTCTCTCTCTCTCTGTCTGTCTGTCTCTCTGTCTGTCTGTCTCTCTGTCTGTCTCTGTCTGTTGTCTGTCTCTGTTGTCTGTCTCTCTGTCTCTGTCTGTCTCTCTCTCTCTCTGTCTGTCTCTCTGGCTGTCTGTCTCTCTCTCTGTCTGTCTGTCTGTCTCTCTCTCTGTCTGTCTGTCTCTCTCTCTGTCTGTCTGTCTCTCTCTCTGTCTGTCTGTCTCTCTCTCTGTCTCGCTGTCTGTCTCTGTCTCTCTGTCTGTCTCTCTCTGTCTCTCTCTCCCTGTCTCGCTGTCTCTCTCTCTCTCGCTGTCTGTCTCTCTCTCTCTCTGTCTCACTCTCTCTCTCTCTCTCTCCAGCCAACACACTCAACACAAAAATACTTGTCTGTGGAAACTATAGAGGATGAACATGAAACTGCAGCTGGTGGGTGGGTGGGGGGGGAGTTGGGGAGAGAAACGATTACAAGGCACAACATACATACCCTATCTGACACAGATTTGACTACATGCTTTTCAACTCAACGCCTCAGACGCAGCAACTTTTATTTTTCAGGTTACAAAGTAACGAGGTCTTTTATATGCCTTTTAGATATATAATATATATATTATGCATTTGGAAAAAAATACAATCTTTTTGCTAATCCGCAGGTATTGGGGCCACATTTCATTCAGAACCCAGTGTAACACAGAGCAACAGAGAGAAACAGCCACACCATGGGGAGAGGGGAGGGGAGGGGGAGAGAGGAGGGGGAGAGAGGGAGAGAGGAGGGGGAGAGAGGGAGAGAGGAGGGGAGAGAGGGAGAGAAGAGGGGGAGAGGGGGAGAGAGGAGGGGAGAGGGGAGGGGGAGAGGGAGAGGAGGGGGAGAGAGGGAGGAGGGGGAGAGAGGAGGGAGGGGAGAGGGGGGAGGGGAGAGAGGGGAGAGGGGGGAGGGGGAGGAGGAGGGGAGGGGGAGGAGGGGGAGATAGGAGGGAGGGGAGAGGGAGGGGAGAGGGGGGAGGGGGGAGAGAGGAGGGGGGAGGAGGGGGAGGGGGAGAGAGGAGGAGGAGGGGAGGAGGGGAGAGAGGGAGGAGGGGAGAGAGGGAGAGAGGAGGGGAGGGGGAGAGAGGAGGGGAGGGGGGAGGAGGGAGGAGGGAGGGGAGAGAGGAGGGGAGGGGGGAGGAAGGGGAGAGAGGGGAGAGAGGAGGGAGGAGGGGAGAGGGGAGAGAGGAGGGGGAGGGGAGAGGGGAGGGGAGAGAGGGGGGAGGGGGAGAGAGGAGGGGGGGAGAGAGGAGGGGAGAGGGGAGAGAGGGGGGAGAGGGGAGGGGGAGAGAGGAGGGGAGAGAGAGGAGAGGAGGGGGAGAGAGAGGAGGGGGAGAGGGAAAATGGTTATATTTAGAGGTATTTGCAGGAAAAAAAAATCTAGATTTCTGTGTGTGTTTGAGGGGGGAAACGATTGCAGAACATTTAACTGCACTGATCTTAACGGCAATGCAAACGTGAAACGTTTTCTACGTTGTTGGAAGTAATATATATATATTATATACACATATACATATATATATATATGAGTCCAAAGTGAACCAAAGATCAAGTCGAGCGCTTTGTCGGTGCGAAAAGCCACGAAGCAAAGCTTTTGTACCCCATATTTTTTTAAGGAGCGAAGAGGGGGGGAAATCACCACCAAAACGTAGCTCTTTGGGGGGGAAAAAAAAAGGAGAATAAACAAATATATATTAACAACACATCGAGAGACACAGAGACACACACACACACACACAGGGACTCACCCAGAAGAGGAAATTAAAGATGAACAGCAAATACTTCACACACTTCACGCCTCCACGAACCATTTTTTTCCTGTCAGAAATTTAGGGGTATTTCTTTTTGGGTAATAAGCTTCTTTTTTTTTTGGGTGGTGGTGGGGGTTTGGGAAGAGGAGAGGAGGGGAGTGGGTGGGTGGGTGTTGCCTGTAAAAAGCTTTTGAGGGGAGTCGAGTCGAGTCTCTCTGCCTCCAATGCGATGAGGGAGTGTCTCTCTGTCTCTCTCTCTCTCCTCTCTCTCTCTCTGTCTCTCTGTTTCCTTCCTCAGCTCTGGGAGATTGGGGCAAATACGTGGTGAGCGCATGTGCAAGAACTCTGGGGGTGGGGTGGGGGTTGGATGGTGCACTGGTTGCCTCGCCCTTTCCCGGAGTCTTAAGATATTTTTTTTTTGGGGGGTGGGACAAGGAGGGAGGGGGAGAGAGGGAGGGAGGGAGGGAGAGAAGGAGGGAGGGAGAGAGAGGGGGGGAGGGGAGAGAAAGGGGAGGGAGATAGAGAGAAAGAGGGAGGGAGAGAAGATAGAGAGAGGGAGGGGGGAGAGAAAGAGGGAGGGGGGGAGAGACATAGAGAGGGAGGGAGGGAGAGAGAGAGGGGGGGGGGAGAAAGGGGGGGGAGGGAGAGAAAGGGGAGGGAGATAGAGAGAAAGAGGGAGGGAGAGAAGATAGATAGAGAGGGAGGAGAGAGAGAGAAAGAGAGGGAGGGGGGGAGAGGGAGAGAAAGAGAGGGAGGGAGAGAGAGAGAAAGAGAGGGAGGGGGAGAGAAAGAGGGAGGGAGAGAGATAGAGAGAAAGAGAGGGAGGGAGAGAGATAGAGAGAAAGAGAGAGAGGGAGAGAGAGAGAGAGAGAAAGAGAGAGAGGAGGGAGGGGGAGGGAGAGAGAGAGGGCAGACCCCCCCCCCACCCCCTACCCTGTGGGGTAGGAATAAATAAAAGCACCTTCCAGTGCTGCAGACTGCACACAGGCACTGCAGCAGTTGACTCCCACCCCCAGGGGTTTTTTTTTGTAATATGATTGTTTTTGGTGGTGGTGGTGGTGATGGAGGTGTGTGAGAGGGAGTTTTTTTTTGCTGCATTTTGAAGTCACAGTGATTTTGAAATGATGACTCATGATTTTCCTCTCCCCCTCCCTCTCCCCTCTCCCCCTCCCTCCCCCCTCCCTCTCCCCTCTCCCCCTCCCTCTCCCCTCTCCCCCTCCCTCTCCCCCCTCCCCCTCCCTCTCCCCTCTCCCCCTCCCTCTCCCCAAGAGTTTTCAGGGCAATCACAGGGTGTGGCAGTCATCTGCTAAGGTTTCAGTGGTGAGCAAAACAGTTTTGTTGCCATAGAAATTGCACAGTTTGGATTCTGCAATGCGACCAGTTTTTAGGTGTTGTGAATGGCATTGAGAGTCTGCAGACAAACCAGGGAGGGAGGGAGGGAGGGAGGGAGGGAGGGAGGGAATAATTAAAAAGAGTGTTTTTTTTATTTTTTTTCCGCACCGATAAATCATTCTTCAAGGAAAGGCGAATTGCCGGCAATTCCGTACGGGTTTTACGTGGAGAAAAAGTCACGGCTTTTGTTTCTTTTTTTTTCTTTTCTTTTCCGCGCCGGCCTCCGGCCGCTTCTCCTTGGTTCGTGTTACAAACGCCTTCGCGTCGGGAGGGTTTGGGCAGCGGCTTTCGGAGCAGAACTGCCCGGGTTTGAACTTGCTGTTTTTGAGGGGTTTTTTTCTCTCTGCACTTCGGTGCGGAGCCTTTTCACGCCGCGAAACCGTCTCGGTTGCTTCGCGGGATTTAAGATTGATGTGTAATAATCCTTTTTGTTTGATGTCGGGTTTGTGAAGTGAAGTGACTGCGTATTTTCCGGGTGAAACGCAGCAGCCAATTGCGCACAGCGGTGTCCACAAACATGGATCGAGTGCCCACATTTGTTTATGTGAAGTGTAGTGACTGTATATATAGGCGAATGTAGCAGCCAATTTGGAAAAATACATAACAAATAACTTACATGATTTTTTCTTTTTTACGTTTTGAACGATGGGGCGGGTGAGCAAAGTCTCCAGCTGAGGAGACTTGTTATCTGGCAACTTCAGGTGTGTCTGCAGTAATCCAAGCACTGTTGCAGGTTAATCATCTTGTCTGGCTCTTCATTGAGACTTGAAGTGTGGTCTAGACATTTCTTCAGCTGTGAGTCAGAGCAAAAACAAGTAGGGTCACCTTAGTTAGATATGTACTGTACTTTGGTTATAATTAATATTATGGCAACAACAACAGCAGCAAATTGCACTTATATAGCATCTTTCATGTCAGGAGGATGTCCCAAGAGTTTGCATCTGAGCTGGGGGTTCGAATCGAGAGTGGTGGCAGGCAAACGGGGTGGTGGTGGGAGGATGACCGAAGGCACAGTCAAAGACGTCTTGAGATGGGCTTTGAAGGAGGCAACAGAGGGAGAGATGCAAAGGAACTCCAGGATGGAATTCCACAGGGTGGGGGGCAGAAATAATATCCTGACGAGACATAGGGACACAATAATAAATTGGTCATTTTCAATCTACGACTGTTTGTGGGACATTGCTGTGCGCAATTGGCTGCCGCGTTCGCCCACAAATATACAGTCAATTCACTTTACAGTGTGTTCTGTGAAGCGCTTTGGGACGTCCTCCCGACGTGAAAAGCGCTATATCAAATGCAAGGATTATTATTATTATTAGAAAGACTCAAGTCCTGATTACTAATGGTGGGACAGGCATGGCAGGGGACAGTATGGCATTACTAGAATTGGGAATGACTTGTGACTTGCCTAAATATGTATTAAAATTGAAGACAATTTCAGCATAATAGTACCAGAATATTGGGAATTTTATCAAAGGGGCATCCTTGTATTAAAGCAATGTTGACATAGTGCTGTTCTCATGCTTGAGATTCTTCCTTCAAGAACAACAAATTGCCTTAGCAGTTACTTTGCGCTTTTCACCTAAAATAGTTGCAATCCTGGCCTACAGCCCCAGATAAATTGGCATTCATCTCAGGACTGTTTGTAGTAAATTGCTGTGGGCAAATTGGCTACCTCATTTGCCTGCAAAATACAGTCTCAACATTTTACAGTAAATTCCTTTGACGAGCTTTCAGATATCTTTCTACGTGAAAGGCACCATATCAAATACAACAATTATTATATCCAAGCACATCAAATTTTGAGTCAGGTATTAGGTAGGGATCAGAATTTTACCCTGTTTTCCCTTTCCTTCAGAGTGTATTTTATGTGTCATGAACAGGAGAAAATTGAGTGAAAAAGTTTTGAGAAAAAAAACCTTGGATAAAATTAGTGAAAATCAGGATTTCCATTGGAACGTCAAAAATACCTCAAAACAAGCCCAATAATAACAAACAGCTACTTTATTGATGACCACAATTATTGATATAGTAGAGAGATGATTTTCTGCACTAATTGGGACTGATCCCATTGGGCTCAAAAGCCTGTGGTCAAAGAGGAAGATCTTGTTGTGGAACTTGAAGGAGGCGACTGACGAGACATAGGGACACTGGGGATGGAGTTCCAGACAGTGGAGACAGATAGGCTGAAAGCCTGATCGCTGATGGTGGAATGATTAGGGCGGGGGACGTGCCTTCGGTCACCACCCCCACCTCGCCTTTCAGCGGTTCAGCGACAAGTCATGCCGCTGTTAAACACTCCAAGATGCTACCTACGAGAAAGATGCTATATAACTCAAGTTGTTGTTGTTAACCCTGCAAGTCAAAGCTGTAATGGAAAGTGTGGTCCTAGCTTGGATGGGTGGAAATAAATTATGATAATAATTATCAAATTGCGGTAATAGTTCTCAGACCAAATCTTACCACAGTTATAAATATTCTCAACCACCTATGGTGCAATGATTTGGACTGAAACCAGCTCGAAGTTTGATATTGTCACTCGCATCTAAACACCATTTTGTGGAATACTGATTCAACGCGATCCAAGTTCATTCACAGTCGGTTCAATAATTATTGATTGGTTAGATCAACCACAAATTTTGTATTGGCAAGCAATGCTGTTTCAACTGGATAAAATCTAGCAGCACCTCAATGCACAATCTAGGATTCCCAAGCCTTATAATCCTTGCATTTGATATAGCGCTTTTCACGTCGGGAGGACGTCCCAAAGCGCTTCACAGAATAGACTGTAAAGTGAATTGACTGTATATTTGTGGGCGAACGCGGCAGCCAATTGCGCACAGCAGTGTCCCACAAACAGTCGTGGATTGAAAATGACCAATTTATTATTGTTTTGGAGGGATTATTATTAGGCTCTGTGGAGTAAGGAACCTTGCCCAAGGTTTCGCCCTCTGCCTGGAATTGAACTCAGGTCTCTCGCTTGCAAGGCGAGTGCTCTAACCACCGAGCTACAGGACTCCACGACAGCCTTGGCTCTTGCCAACCTGAAAGATTCGATAGAGGCTTTCAAAAGGGAATTGGATAGGTTCTTAAAAAGCAACAATTTGGAGGGCTAAGGGGTAAGGGGTTGGATAGATCTTTCGAAGAGCCGGCACACGCATGATGGGCCAAATGTGCGTTAAGGTTCTTTGAAGATATACTCCTCAGTGAAGAGTGTTTGCATTCTAAACTGAGGGAAATTTCCATACATTTGTGAAACTCCGTCTGGTTTGGATAAATTAGCATTTTGATGAGTTTCTGTGCATCTTGCCTGGCCGACTTGTTTTTAACAAAAAGACTTGTCTATGAATACATTGATTACACAGGAAACACTTACTTTACCCTCACAAAAAACAGTTTCCATATGTTTTAATAAGCTTTTCTTGTTCAGTCACAAACTTTAAACGTGATGGCTGTGTAGAGGTTAGTCACTGAGTGCAACCCACCCAAAGCCATGTGTAATGGGTAGAGAGGTGATCTAAAGATAGATATAGTCATGGAACAGAGGGAGAGGGAGAGGGCGGGGTTCAAGGTCTGCACTCCATGTGCAAGCCAAAACCCACTTTAAGATAAATTCATCAAGGACACCACCGAACAAAGCTGCAGGAAAGTTTGTTAAGTTTTTTTTGCTATCAGTATCGCTATGAACCATTATATTAGATTGAAGGTTAGATTGCTGGAAGTGGTCGCTGTCGTTAATGTAAGTGCATCACCCATGACTCATACTTTCAAGTACTTTGCGCAACAAGCATACACACTGG